TTCGTTGGTAAAAGAGTAGCCCAAGAGTTGGCGGTGGGTGGTGATGACTAGCTGCCTTCCCTCTAGTCTTACACTGCTAAATTAGGGACGGCTAGCGCAGATAGCCCTCGTGTAGCTTTGCGCGAAATTCAACAAACAAACAGTTTTTATGTATTGTTATAAGCGACCGTTATGACGTTGCAACTAACGGCCGTGTAATCGATACCGGCTCACTGTGGGTCAGCGGTAGGCCTACGGACTTACTACGTCAGAATTAGAATTTCGTTCTTTCGGTGGACAGAGCGCGGATAGCACATTATGTAACTTTGCGTTAAAAATACAACAAACCCTAATTGGTTTTCTACATTCATTATTACGTTGTTACGAGTCTGCGGTTTAAACATATATACTGTAAAATAGTGATGTCATTTACTCCAGAAGTTTTATCACGTGATGAATGTGAACTTCGGTTACTATCTTAAAGAAAATTAACAAAAAAAGAAAGAATTTAGGATAGTTTTAAATTTAAAATTCACATGTCTAGTTTTTAAAAACCAACAGTTGCTCTTATCGTGTGTTTGTGTTAACGAACCTTGTATTATTGATATGTTGATAATTTTTTCTTTATATGTCACGTTTTAAATTAAACGTCGTTTTGTTGTTGTTGCTATGGTGATGAGTTACAATACAACTTCTACTGTTATTGTTTAAAAAAAAAGTAACTTTTTCTGGGGGAACTTTACAAATATATGTTTTTCGTTACAGATAATGAATTAAAAATATGTTCGACAGCAAATACTTGCTGTAGCCGTGAATTAGAAAATAGATTTATAACATCTGCCGGAGAAGACTTTCGTTTGAAGATTCAGACGACCAGTTCATCCCTGAAATCTTTGCTCAAAACAACAGCCATTCATCTTCAAGGTAGGATGTATAAGCCTAAAAATGAATTCTAATTATTTATAACGTATTGATAACACACTTTAACATATTTAACTTACATTTATAACGTATTGATAATACAGTTTAACATATTTAACTTACATTTATAGCGTATTGATAATACAGTTTAACACATTTAACTTACACATATAACGTATTGATAATACATTTAACTTACACATATAACGTATTGATAATACATTTTGATATATTTAACGTTTACTGTCTAAAGTTTAAGCAGCTGTAATTTTGTGCGAACAACTTAGAATTTGATTATTTGTATAGCCAATTGCTCATACCGTCTATAAGCATGTTGTTTTTTATTATTAACTTGGTTCTTCTAAATGAAAATAGAGCACTCTGCGCCCTTGTGTTTAACATAAAAAATTTAAATCACAAGTAGTTAAGTCTTTCGGTTAAAATTTACTAATAGTTTCCACTTTGTATTTAAATCACAAGTAGCTAAGCCTTTCATAACCGCAACTTTTCCTCGGGATCTTATTCGCCCAAGAAAAAAAAATAACCCTTCGTTGGAAACAGGAAAGATAAAAACTGTATTTGAATTAAGTATCATTCTAATGTACTCACGAAGAACGGAAACATCGTATTGCTGTCCAGTCTCTCTCGTGTTAAAAGTTCATTTGTGTAGAACAAAGTGGAAACTATTAGTAAATTTTAACCGAAAGGCTTAACTACTTGTGATTTAAATGCAATGTGTAAACTATTAGTAAATGTTAACCGAAAGGCTTGGCTACTTGTGATTTAAATGCAATGTGTAAACTATTAGTAAATTTTAACCGAAAGGCTTAGCTACTTGTGATTTAAATGCAATGTGTAAACTATTAGTAAATTTTAACCGAAAGGCTTAGCTACTTGTGATTTAAATGCAATGTGTAAACTATTAGTAAATTTTAACCGAAAGG